GACAGTGTCAAATGCTTTGCACAAGTCCAGGTAGATGACATCAGTTGCTCTTCCCTTATCCATCAATGCTGTAACCCCGTTGTAAAAGGCTACCAAATTTGTCAGGCACGATTTGCCCTTAGTGAAGCTGTGTTGGCTGTCACCAATCACCTCCTTGTTTTCTATGTGTTTTAGCATAGTTTCCAGGAGGATCTGCCCCATGATCTTACCAGGCACAGAGGAGAGACTGACTGGCCTGTAGTTCCCTAGGTCTTCTTTTTTTCCCTTTTTCAAAATGGGGGGTGTCAGTGTGAACTTCACCAGACTGCCATTACTTCTCAAATATGATGGATAGTGGATTAGCAACTTCATCCGCCAGTTCCCTCGGGACCTGTGGCTGGATCTCATCAGGTCCCATGAACTTGTGCATCTTCAGGTTCCTTAGATGGGCTCAAACCTGATCTTCTCCTACAGTGGGCGGCTCTTTATTCTCCCAGTCCCTGCCTTTGCCTTCTGTGACTTGGGCAGTGAGGCTTGAGCACTTGCCGGTGAAGAGCGAGGCAAAAAAGTCATTGACTACCTCAGCCTTCTCCATATCCTGGGTAACCAGGTCTCCCGTTTCCTTCCGGAGAGGGACCACATTTTCCCTCATCTTCCTTTTATCACCAAGGTACCTATAGACGCTTTTCTTGTTGCCCTTGATGTCCCTGGCCAGATTTAATTCTATCAGGGCTTTAGCTTTCCTAACCTGATCACTGGCTGCTCGGACAATTTCTCTGTATTCGTCCCAGGCTACCTGACCTTGCTTCCACCCTTTGTAGGCTTCCTTTCTGTGTTTGAGTTTGTCCAGGAGCTCCTTGTCCACCCATGCAGGCCTCCTGGCATTTTTGCCTGACTTCCTCTTTGTTGAGATGCAAGGCTCCTGAGCTTGGAGGTGATCCTTGAATATTAACCAGCTTTCTTGGGCCCCTCTTCCCTCCAGGGCTTTATCCCATGGCACTCTACGAAGCAGGTCCCTGAAGAGGCCCAAGCATGCTCTCCTGACGTCCAGGGTAGTGAGTTTGCTGTGCGCCCTCCTTGGTGCCCTAAGCATCTTGAACTCCACCATTTCATGGTCACTGCAGCCAAGGCTGCCCTTAGGCTTCACATTCCCCACCAGCACCTCCTTGTTGGTGAGAGCAAGGTCCAGCATAGCAGCTCTCCTTGTTGGCTCCACAAGCTAGACAAAAGTTTGACGCCCTTTTTTCAACCATTTCTCATTCTTTCAGTTTTTCATCTTTCTCTTCTTCACCTGTTTTTTTTTATCCCCCCCTTTGGGGGCGTTTTGGAAAGTAAACTTTGCAGCCTGTTACATGCTTATCAGAGCAGTGTTACACAAATAGAAGATCAATGGCATTGCACAATATAAGATCAAGTATCAGTGCAGGGAGCACTGACAGGTAACACCTGACCAGGTGTTTCCTCTCATACTAGTGAGGCTTCGGATCATGTACATTACCATGGCATATATTGACCAGCTTGGATCTGTCAGGCTGTGAGCCAGATAACTGGCAAAACACTAGAATCAATCAGGTTGGCAGGGTTAGTAGCTAACATCCATCAAGGGGGGTAAAACTTACAGCTTTGGACCTACCCTAAGATATTTTGGGCTTTGTAGCCAGGTGTCTGTGCTCCTCTCCAAGGCTATGTATTCTTTATCCATTAATCTCTCCTGTCCCTCTTTATTACAAGAGCATAGATGGCAAGCATTAGAAAATGCATCCATGACTTTGGTAGTAATAATAAACCGCTGATTTTTAAAGTGCCCTTCAGAGTGTCTCTGTTTCTTGCATTTTGGAAGCACTCAACAAATACAAATGCTGTAAGTCTACCACATTGGGCAACTTGCTTCTTGAGGCCCCTCCAGATAACACATCTGAAAAGCCATAAATCTTCTTTTGTTTGGCATGAACAAAACAGAAAGCTCCTAGTGACCCTTTATTCTTCCCTTCAAAAAATATGGCATAGATTAACTGCAGAAACATATGGCTTGTCTGTTCTTATTCCAAAATGATGGGAAATATTACTGTGGGTATAGTTCATCATTAAAATAACGTTAGGGCTAGGTATATTAAATGTATGAGCTAGATACTGAGGCCTGATTTTTAATTTTACTGATTCACCTACTAAAGAAATTAATTTTTTCTTTTGACAGGTGGAGCCAACAGTTCCACTGCAATTAATGCTGCGTGTATTTTCTCCCATGGTGTTCAGTTTATTGAACAAAACTTTCCTGGTGCCTTGTCCCGGTTCACAATCGATTTCTTAATACTCTATGCTTTTCTACCAGGACTTGCCATTATAGCAATTCTGAGCTTCAAAATAAGAGAGAGAATTATTGGCAGGCAATAAAAAAGTAGCAGTGCTAACCATTCTAATAATGCACTTTTTACTTGATCATGGTTGAAGGCTTAAATTGATGGATTTTAGATAGAATTTCAGTGATTATACATACAGAAACACATTCATCTTACGTTTGTTTCTAACTGGATGTTTTCCATCTTGAAAAACAATGTTCTCTTAAGAGTGTGAATGGCTTCCTGCTATTGGTATTCCCACCCCACTCCCAAATCAGGCATAATCAATAGCATTACATGTTTTAAAGGACTTTTTGAATTTAATTTAGTCAGCTGTTTCTATCGATTTTTAACAATGTATCAATGGTGCTCTAATCTTTTTCACACTAATTTGTTTTTTAACCATTACCAATAAGCAGAGAGGTATAATTGCTAGTATATCTTGTATTTTAACTCCTGGGCTTTGTTTTGATACCATCTTGGGGATTTGTAGAAACGCAACATACCAAACACATGTAAATAAAGACAGAATCAAGAAATCACTCCACTTTAATCTTATGCATACTTTATAATCAATGAGTACAGGATCTTTAAGCAATATAAAAGTTACCCAACATGTTTTTGTCTTGTAAATTATGGTAAATGAGAGAAGACAATTATGTTATTTGTATCTGTTCCTTCTTTTCATTACCAAGTTCTAAATCTTGTTTTGGAAGCAGTTTGTGAATTACTAGAACAAATTTTTGTTTGTTAATAAAATGTCAATTTAGCTAGGGAAAAAAAAGTTGTTTGCCAGTTCTTGGAAGCGATGTAGTTTGCATCTTTGGAAATTATTCTCATGGGCTCACTAACATGCCAGGAGAGTCTAATTTATCCATTTATTCAATATAAGTACCTCTTAAAATTGAAAGCCTAACAGACACAGAATTCCCAAGTTTTATAACGTACTTTGCATGTTTCATGACATTATTTATTACAGAGGGATAGCTAGAGATTTCTTCAGGGAGGTAAGTATATTTGTATCTTAAAATTCCATAATAATATAATTAGTTTAATTTTATAGCTTTGAGATGATGCACTTTTTGTAACGAAGAATTTGAAACCCTCAAGCTAATGCAAGTTCTCCACTTAAGTGTGAGGCCACAATTTTTTTCTAGTATCTTTATGTATAATATTCCAAGATACCAACGTTATAATGAGAAAAACATTCGATGAACAAATATGTTAAAAATAACTTTAAAGAGCTGGAAAGATGTTACATTAGGTAGTCTTTCCCATTTTTATGTGCATGTAGGGTTGTTCATCAGGGACTATTCTTACGATCTGGTCTCCCAAGTGACTGACTGTTCAGACATTTATTGTCTAACAACAAATCTTAGCTCTCAAGAGACACCTTTGGCTTTAAGCTAGATCCTGTCTTGTGTCTTCTCAAAACACTCAGGCCATCTCATAATAGTGAGGATGTCCATGGACAAAAAGCCGTATGTAGTTTAGGCTAGCATTTCACCACCTTAGGCTGCATGTGAATCAATTATACTTCCACCACTAACCAAGTATCTGTCAAATTGATTAGACTGACTTCCTAGTATTTGAATATTTGACAGAAATGTCGTCTTCTGAATTCTGTGCAAAGTTATTACAACGTTATACATTGCAAGAAATAATTCCTGTATTAAACTGTATGATACTGAAACAGAGATAAAGCAAACTTCTGAATTTTAGATCAGGTCAAACATGGTTTTAATTCCACTTTATTCTGCTACCTTTTGTGGAACTATCCTATTCAAATACATCAAACAATGATGCAAATATATTCTTAAGCTTTGCTTTTGAATTATATATGCAACGAACTAGGAAAAGAATGCCTAGCATGCTTTACTACGCAGTTTCATATTTTGGGTGTGAAAACTTGTTTATATTTAAATACATGTTTAGGGCAGAAGCATTACAAAAACAAATCAAATATTGTGTTATAAATTATAAAATCGGTAGAACTGACTAATGGCAGTTTTCATATTCAAACCCATCTCTGAACAGTCTAGAATTCCTTTCTCCCCACTTTTTAAAACACTGTCAGTACCACGACATATTTAAATTTGGACTGAACAAATAAACAGCTATTTTTATTAAAAGTAATAACAGGAATGCTTAATAAATATTAATTTTGTAGTTTGATATTGCAGATTGCAGATTAAATTGCTGCATCAGATTAAATTGCTAGTGTAATGTTAAAATGATTAAAGTAATTTTGTAAATGTTAAACTGAAGACACCTATAGCAGTTCATCAATCAGGTTCAAAATCCATTTCTTTCCAGGATTTAGAGGCATTTCTTTTGTATTGTTCAAGTTCCTAAAACAGAAACACACATACATATTAATCTAATCTCATTATTAAAAGCAATGATACATACATTAGCCACCTAAACATTTAAAGCATGTCCAAACATTTTTCACTGTACAAAAAGTCCTATATGTTTTTTACTTTTAACAAAATTATACTAAAAGTGCTATAAATTTTGCCACATTTGCTCTTACATAGTGAGCTAGATTTTATTTATTTAGGCCTAGATAGTTGCTTTCTAGGCAACTAGAAGAAATTTTGGGTGGGGTCTTAGACATTCAGTTTGAGAAACCAGGCTCCCTATGAACATACAGAAATGTAACACTACCTGTGTTTTAAAAACAGAAATCAGAATGAACCAACAGAAACTACTGTTTCACACACAGGAAGTCAGGGCCTTTCAAGAAACAAAATGAACTGGTAATTCCTTAAGATCACAGAAAAGAAACTAGAAAAACAAAGCCTACTTTCTTTCTTTCCTTTTTTTTTTTTCCCCAAAGCACAGGACTGAAATGAACTTCTGTAAGCTTATACATCACCAGTGGTGATAATTTAGAGAGCTACCAGTAGACCTTAGAAACCCTGCAGAACACAGGCTTGTCCAGAAAGCAGTAAGCAGAAATATATTTTAAAGGAATGCAATGGGTGTTTAGGAAATCAACGTACCATATCTATTCAATCTATGGTACTGGATATTTGTGGAAATATTATTCATCATTGCTTGAGGTTTTTCAGGAAGTGTATTACTCATGACAGACAATGATGCCATGCTTTTACTTTTGTTTTGTTTTTCAGTTAGTAGTTAAAGTATTCTTTCAGGTGCTACTGTTTAGTAGATTGAAAAGTTAGCACCTGTGTGTAAAAATAAAATGCAAATCCAATGTGGTAATTAAAATTATGCATCTTCTAGATAGTAATTAGATTATTAAAAGCAAACAGAGGCTCAAATTGTGGAGGTATAAATAAAGCGAATTAGGTATGAAAGATGAGGCAATCTACATTATAGTATACTTGACATCAGCTGAGTACTAGCATGGTAGACAAATGACCTTGTTTCAGTCAAAAGGGCTACTGGGAATTTTGAAGCCTGTAATAAAAGGTTCTAGCAACATCACCAACCAACAATTTCATCTTCTGAATTTTATGTAGTGGTGCATACTGTTGGGAATTATTTCCGAAGATTTTTTTCAGCAAAAATTAATTTAGAAAGCACTACGATTGCTTTTTGTTCATTTAAGAATAAGAAGTCTTCCAACGTATTTGCAGTACTTATTACAACGTAATTACTTATTACAACGTAATTACGTATATATTTGCAGTACTTATTACAAAGTATTTGAGGTACTGCTAGACCTAACCATGTACTGGCTTGCAATACAAAAAAAGTCATTATATCTTACTTAGATATAGAGGAAAAAGAGATGGACATAAACCAGTGATTAGTATAAATGTAGCAAAGACTCTCAAATTAATAGAATGGATTTAACAGAGTAAGGGAGGTTTCACTGTAGTTACACAGATACCAGAATTGACAAAAATAACAAAATTCACACCTGGTAAATTTAACAGAAGTATTAATTCTCAATCCAGAGCACAGAGAGAGGAAGAAGAAAATAAAAGGCAGAGCAACAAAGAAATCATCATCTAAAAATTTTACAGAAGTAATAACTGGAATTTTCTCTCTCTCAGGAAATAACTTCAGCAGCTTTGTCATCAGTGCAAAGTTTTCAGAAAGCACCACAGATTTATGAGCAGTAAGAGGATTTTTAATTAGTGCATATTCTTCATGATGCTTGCAGGAGACTAGTTTTACAGTTAAGTAACTCGTAGATGACTGACACAGAACATATTGTGCCTAGTCTAAATCTAGTAAGTTGCATTATTAAATACTGCTCTAGTACTACTGAACTGTTCTATCTCTAAGCCAGTCTTTACTCAGTATTTTCACTCTCTCATTATTAATATAAAGTAATTATGATCTTGGAACATACTGAACCGTTGGAAACTTGCCAACAGTTAGGAATAGAAAGAATACTGTGATATTTTAAGGAACACATGTAACCTGATTTATGCTAAGTAAATAATTTCAATTCTAACAACTTTCCCAAAGGCTATGGGAAGGGGTAAAATTAGACAATGAAGTTTTACATATAACGACAATGCTGTCTGGGGGTTGTGTCTACAGGTGCTGCCTAAATAATTAGCCTTACAGATTTATTATCTGACTGTTTCAAGAAAGAGGCAGATAATTTAGCAGAATTTATATTGCTGTAATTTTTAGCTAGCTAGAAGGCAATTCAGTGTAAAGGTAATTCAAAACAATACAGAAATGCAAAGTATCAAAACCACAGCATACATTAAAACTGTATAGCTATACCACTACATACAGAAGTACAGAACAAAATTATAAATATTTATTTTGGAGACATATGTAGGTAAGACTAACATTTAAACAATGAGAAAGGAAAGAAAAAAAAAGGGATTAAATGGGAAGATATGTACAAAAAAATAATCTTTAACAAATTCAGTGATTCATGAGGAAAAATGCTGTCAGGAAAGTAAATTTCCTTAGTTTTCATGTAAAATAGAAAGTAAAATAAATCCCCGTAAGTCAGAAATGTCATGGGAAAAAATCTTTCAAATACAGCTTAAAGATCACTCCAGAGACCCTTTTGAAAAAGGGTACCTTCCTGCTCATAAAGTCCTATACTAGAAACATAGGTAGGATTCTGGAATATACTGTAACTATACAATCAGCTAAGAGATCCTCCCTCCAAACTCAAAGAAGATCCTACGAAAGAATATATCTCAAAGTACACCAAAATGTTTACGCTAGCATTATGCTTCCTTTGTTTTCTGGGTACCAAGTGTAGGGGGCACAGATCAGATTTACAAAGAATTAACAATTGCCATTTAAATATGCTTTCAATGTGCTCTGGGTGCTTTAAACCTTATTAGTCCTAGCAACTTGTCCTAGATAACACTGGCATGAAGTGGATTTTAAAATTTTTTTTAACCTTAATGCTTCTGTGCTTCTGCGTTTCTATAAATTCTTCATCTGTCAAATAGAGAAGATCACACCTAATCTCATAAAGGGATTGGGAAGAAAGACTTAACTGATCTTTGTGAGGCACTCGGATAAGATAACATTACCACACATTCTCAGAGAAAAAAAATTAATACTTTTGCATTCTTTGAAGTGTCTGAAAGGCAGGTTGAGAAATAAGGTACACAAAGAATAAGGATGATGAAAAGAAATACTGAACGATTGAATTGAGACATCAGCAAAATAGTATATGATCATGTAATTAAAGACAATACTATAATGTCTACAAACATGGAGGAAAAATTAAGATTGTAGGAAAAGTCTTAATTGTTGCATCTCCTCAGTTCTGAGGACTTTAACTTTTTTTCATGTAGTTTCTTACTGAAAGTGCTCTTGATCTGGTATATGGTGAAAATAACCAAGTACTGAAACAAGGATTAAAAATCTTAAGTACCTAAACTTCAATAGGAAATTTAATAACAGTGCTCTAATAATGTTCTTTAAGTTGGTTTAAAAAAAAGAAAAAATCTTTTGTACCCACTTGGATATGACTTCATATGAAAACGAGAAAGTTTATTCTTGGCAGCTGAGTAAACATCCTAAATAACTTTTTCTCCACAATATGAAGACCAGCACTTCTCCTCCTCTGGAGAAAATGAAAGATGCTACTGCTCTGTTACCCATGTTAAGGTGCCTGTCATACTTCTCCGCCCAGTAATACTGGTCTGACCAAGGAGGTTCATCACACAATATGCACTCTTTTTTTATTTTTTTATTTTATTTTATTATTTTATTGAATGAGATTGAAATTGTCTCCTGAAGTTCTGCAATATGGTCACGTCAGAAAAGTATGCTGAAAAAATATGAATCTCATTCTGTTAGCCAACACAGACCCAATCTCAGTCAGAGAGCTTCAGACCTGACACCAAGATGATTTTTAGTTGTGAATAACATGGCTAATTATGTTAGTCCTATTTTAGGGGAAATAGGACTACGCTTCCCTGCGAGATGTTATAGAACCTCCCCTTCGTTAAAGTCTTAACAGTTACAGCCCTGTTCACTGTGATCTGCTTCCATTACTTCTTGTTAGCCAACACCAAATGGCACCAGGCATCTACCTTTTTTTTTCCTTTTGTTTTTAGTAGACTTTATGGTATTAGGCTTCAGCTAAAACTGGCACCAATCCCTAAAGTAATACCTTTGTGTAACAAGGACCAGTCAGTGTGAACTTTGGTATTGCGTGACACTGACTTCTTCAGTACTTGATTGGGAGGCTATCCAATTCTTTGATCTCAAGGTTAGCTTTATCATTTGCTTCAATGAATGAAGCTGCAGTCAAATGTCCAGATGAAAAAGGTCCAAGCACCTATTTTGAGTACTAGCAGTACAAGGCATAACAGGATAGCTAAGACCTGAAACAAAAAAAAAACTTTGAAAAGACATCTTAGAGTACTTACCTCTGTGGTAGAGAGCATTTCTAAAGGAAACAGAGTAGACACTCCCATGTGCTATCTCACATTTAGAAGGAACTACGGAACAAGACTTTCATGCACTCCTAGGTGCTCACAGATGCAGGTGGTATATGTGCGGCTCTAATCAACAATATTATTTTAAAAGATCTCACTCTTATTCAAGTTATGTGTGTACCTAAAATGAAATTAAGGTGACCTTAAAGCATCAAAAGCCAAAAAGCTAGCAGAGAATGGAGAAAAATGGATGACAAGTTTGCCATCTTGTTTATGTTTTATGTGGGCTGTATGAAGAGTTAACAGCAAGCTACACGTTTAAGGCCTAATACATATGTGAAATGAGTGTTTTTCTTGACTCTTGAAAGCCCTGCAAAGAGCACAAAATTCCAGTCATTCCCGGAGAGAGTCTGCTAGTTAAGAAATACATTAAAAATGTAAATTCCAAAAAGGTCCCTGGTGCTGTATTCTCTCTCTGAGCTTAACTCCAGAGAATGAAAAAGCACTAAACAATTGCAATAGCACTGTTTGATATAAACCTGCACATTGTATGTCTGTGGGGTCAGAATTACGAAAAGAATTCTGAAAAGACATAGTTGAGAAAGAGCGATGTGCTCTATCTTGAACAAAGGCACAGTGAGGAAAAAATAGCCTCAGAGAGCTTTCCCGAGCAAAAAGGTCTAGAAAGAGAGTGGTACATCTCATAGTTAACTCTGAAAATATTAAGGAGGCAGAATAATCTGGTCTAAAAGAAAACACTCTTGTGACAGAATGCTGATGAGCTGGACTCTTAACTGCTACAGCCAAAAAGCGTATCAGATAAATACTAGCTGACAGCTAGTACATGGGAGTAAGCCAGGTCCTTCCTTGTTTCTGTACTTTTTTTTAAAAACTGTTTTCTAATTTTATACTTGAGAATTTAACCTTTTAGTCTTTTACCCTAGTTGCAGACAAACCCTTCAACCAAGGTTACAAAGTTGGAAGTCGCTGGAAAAGGAATATATTATCCAAAGTACAAGGATCCATTTTGAGACATCAAGTGCTAGGACACTAAAAAGGTTCCTCACAGAGAAATAGCTCTGATTTTATTAAACTTTGTATTGCCACAGTTATCTATAAATCTATTACAGTATTATTGAGCAGTGCTGACCGAGACTGCAACGTCAGCCAGACATGCTAATTCCTCTATAAAACTCAGTGACGGGCTATATTTTGGTTTTGTGTTTAGTTTTCCTTTAAAGCTTATCTTTGAGATAAACAAGCAAACTGGTTATCACCTAGAGTCCAAAGTGGCATATTAATTAACCGAAAGTAACCGAGAAAAATGATAACGTGCACTTAAATGATTTAAAAATATACCTTGTCATCATATGAAACTTCCATTTTGCATTATGTCCCATGATTTCATTAGCAACATGTTGCGTATTGAACATCTTAATATACTGTTCCTCCTACACAACAGATATCATGAGACTCTATAAAAAACATGAGACATATGATGCATTTAAAATGTTGCTTTAAAAATAGGATTTTTGTGCCACTTTTCATATAGCTGGGAAATCCAAAGACAGTTCAATGCTCACTGCAACTACAGAGTTCTTTTCTTTTAGATGTATATTGCTATCTTGGTGCATTTCAAATTGAATGAAATTCTTGGAATATAAAACATTTTAATAATGTGCAAATAATCTTGTAATAATTGAACTTCACGATAGAGAAGTTTAGGAAATAGCTGCAGATAACAAAAGTAATTTTCTCTTTAATGCTCAAATTACTTGTAGTAGTCCAACTAAAAGAAGCTACACTGGTTTGCAATGCCCTTGAACAGATTAAGATTCTAAAAGCCTGTCTCTTTTGTTTAAAAACAGAAAATTAATAGTTTCCTATATGATTTAATCAATGCATACCAGTATCTTCTTTTGCAAGACCTAAGTATTATCTAAAAATAACAAACCTAGTACACCATATAGTTATTTTGAGATATATAGATATACTGAGTATGAGATTACATTGTAAATTCCAAAAGCAATGTGCTTTTGGAATCATTTTAATGATTTCTAAGACTGCTCTTGATGTAACAGAAATTCAGAACTGATGCCTGTATTAACAGGATATTACAGGTAATGTGCAAGTTCAAAGACTGCGGGGGATTCTTGAAATTGCTTTATTCTTTTACGTTATTAATGTATTTCTTTGGATCAGGTAACTACAGGTTTACTGCTTATGCAATCTAACTAAACTCTACAAAAACGTGATAGCAGTAATAATCTAATCCTTTGGCTTTCTTTTACAAGCATGCAAAAAGTTGAAATTTGCCACGGTATTTTAGGGTTAGTTGAGATTAACTGCAGTGCAACTCAATAAAACTGCCTTTCATCTTCAGAGTGCGGGTCTGTAAAAGCATGTGAGATCTAGATTGATAAAATCCATCATCTTAAGCACTGTTAGAAAAACCTCCTTTAACTGCAGTAACTTGGTCCACAAAGAAGTGAAACGGCATACAAATAGCCCACATATAAGCTGTGAGAATGGAGTGGAATGTTTCTCAGTCATTCTAGCAAAGAATTTTCTGTGTGTGAAACAAATGAATCTATAAGAAATAGAGAGTTTCCAGAACAAGTATGTGATACTTCTTCCAAACAAAGAAAAAAAAAATACACAAATCTTGAATTGATTTTAATAGACCCATACCTATGATATTGATGAGGACTATATACAGTATTTCTACTCATGTGATGTTATACACTGATATCTATAAGGCAATGTTCTAACCTTCATCTAGTTTGACACAGAATTTTTCTATAAAATTAATTCACCACAAGTAGTAGGGAAATGCAGAAACACTTCAAACTTAGTAAGAAAAAATAAAAGACCCTTTCCTCACAAAAGGTCTTTCTTGGAATTCAGGGGTTAAGCCAAATATCACTATGTGGAATAATTCTGTTCACTCTGTTCAAGAAAAAATGTACATAGCCTGCAAACTCGAGTCAGAAATGTTATAATCTCCGTACCTTTCCAGTTTAAATAAGAAGTTTTGAAGGTGGAAGACAAAAATAAAAAAGTAAACGGCCCCTACCCCAAACCTTGATACCGCCTCCTAGACTTCCTGCTAGTCAACACCCAAACAGGAGTGCAGAAATGAAGAAATTACTGCCAGGAAAGCTTCACAGCTTTGCTTCAGTATTATTTTAGTGAAATAATTCTGGAAAAGAGCTAGAAGTAAAATTTGAATAATTCATTTCTAAAGAAACCACAGAGCCAAAACTTTGAGATCTAACAATGCCTCACTTGCTTAATGTCTACCAATGGAAAAAAAACCCCAAACTACTAAGTTGAAAACTAAAGTTGAAGTTATTTAAAGGCAAAAAGGGGGCTACGAGTATATTCTACTATTAATTCAGTAGTGCTAGTGGTTCTGGAATACCTGACTGTGAACAGCAACTGGAGAACAACCACACACCTGGTTTTTCTGAGCTCTCATGACATCAACTTCATACTCAGCGTATTGTAAATCCTGTGCAGGGTCCTTGGTATCTTGTAAATCGCAGAAACTCTAAAAGAAGAAATGATAAAAACCCAAATGATAAAATTTATCTGCTATTCTTTTAACAAGAAAATGCCACTCTCTAGATCTAATGGAAGTATTTTGCTTTTAATACAAATGTATTAAAATCCTGCATTTATGGAAGAATTTTGTACTATAGGACACAGATTAGATAATATATAGTATATATCATCTTAGATTGGTAAAATGATGAGAAAGCAATAATGCAGTCAGATCTTAAAGGAAAGAAAATAGTCTTATTTGGTAGTTGTTTATTTCTCTCTCCTCAAAATGAAAATATCCTTTCTGGCCCATGACATTTGGGTTAAGGTTGCTCTTGCTAAAGCATTTAATACTCAAGACTGGAATTCAGTTCCAGTTACCAGAAGCATTACTTCACTATCTGAGAAACTGATTTCTATCTTTTTGCCAAACACTGGAAACTTCAGTTACTAACCTTGAGGGAACTATAAGTTTAAGTTTAATTCCAAAGAAGTAAATACACTAAAAGAAAGAAACACTATCAAATAAGAATTTTTTTTTTTAAATTTTTTTAAATGTTGTCCTGCAGATTTCTCCTTACTCATAAAAAATGGAAAGTAGCAATAAGTCAATCATGCAAATGATGGAATAAAATAAAGCAAAATTATAATTATTATTAGACGAGGGGATGGAAAAAGAAATTCACAAGGCATAAAAACAGCTTTAAAGTTTAAAGCATATTTTGGAGCCAAAACAGTAGACTGGGAATCTACTTGGCAAATCTTCTTTAATTAGACTGATACCTTAGAACACTGATGGAGCTTGCAAGATGAAAAATGTATTCATTTCTCCAGCTGTTTCAGGGGGAGTTCAGGAGTTATGGCATGAGGGGTTGGGGAAGGTTTGTTATCATGTTTTAAAAGGCTATGAGCAAGTGTTACATGAAAAATAACAGTCCTGTGTAGATTTTGAAAAGTAAAATTTAGTCTTTATCATGTTGGGGCATACTGTACTGAGAACGGCATCTTAGTGACAATTTCTTCTGGTCACAAACCACCTGAAATAATTTGTAGGCTTTGATATGTAGCAGTCAAGTGAGTGGGAAAGGGTGAATTCAGACTCCTCCCCACCAAGAATGGAGTTCCATAGACTGAAAACTAGAAAAAGCCCAGTTTGTGCACCATAATCTGAGGCACAGTTTCATAGCCCTGACTGACTTCCTTGCCTGCCCAGGTAAGCCATAGGGCAGGAAATGGCCAGGGATAAAGAACTGTGATACAGTCTAGTACACGAGGAGAAAGCAGCAGCCTGTATTTGCTCAGGTCAAATGGAAAATAATTTTGATTTCCTAACAACAGCAATTACTTTTATTGAAAAGAAGTATTTGGGGGTTTGCCTCTTGGGACCAGAAATTTCTGAAATGTGTACAAGATTTATCACTTCATAGGTGCCAAGGGATTCTAATTACCTTGCAAATCCAAACACTTCCCATAGCAAAATGACAGATTTTGGCAAGGAACTCTTAACACAGTCACCTCATTCATGCCCTAGGAGAACAAGGATCAGTAGCGTGCTACAGCCAGGAAGAGCTCTCATCTTGGAACATCACTGTCATTTGGTTTAGGCATTAGGGGATATGTCACCTTATAAAATTCCAAAAACATTGAGTATAGCATGTCTCTCAATATAATGAAAGGCAATGATGTAACTTTGGAAAAAACAGAAGGTTACATCAGTACTTTCATTATTACTAAATGTAGGAAGGTGACTGAAGATGCAGAAGCTAATAATTAAAGCACCACTACATACAAATCTGTCTCTTTTAAAAATGTATGAATTAAAGAGGTTGGAAGAAACAGAACTGCTAGGCGAGACCAAAATTCCAGTGACTGGACTTGAAAGACAAAAATTAGTAGCGATATTACTACAGTTCCATGAGAAAAGAAGCTGTGCAGCAGACATGTAAATACCTACCTTGGGAGGAAATGTTTTCTCAAATACTTTTTTCCACAGTTCCAATGGTGTGTTTGCACGCATCTTTCCAATATCACTATCAGAGGCAGGCGGTGGTCCTAAGGATTACAGCACAGCACAAAGTAATACAAGTATGTTGTCATAACAACATACATTATCAAAGCATTTTGGATAATGATCCATCTGATTTAATATTTTATCTTCTACAGTGACAAGCTGCAACAAGTTTGGAAAAACATTCATCTCCCACCATGAAACAGGCTGAGTGGTATTGTATATTATGTTTTCTTTCAGATCTAAGGTTGTTGGTACTTTACTCTTTGAAGTAGTCAAATTACTGACTATAATTGAATAGTAATTGAATAGTAATTTTAAACTTTCTAAGCCATTTCCTTCAATAATCTGTTAAAAATGATGCTGATGTGCTATAATTTAACTTCATTTTTTATTTGCTTAAAATTTTTTTCTTGGTTTCAGAAACAATTAAGCAACAAACACGATGAACAGGAAATATCCTAACCTATTTGGCTCAGCGAATCCAGGCCTGCTGGTATAAATAGAGGTTTGCTGTGATCCACTGATACAGACTTGCTAAACAGAAAAAAGAAAATGTATCAAGTGAGCATTTAGCAATCAACGAAAAATGACATTATTCTAGCTAAGACTAGACTCTTACTGGGCTTTGCATACAAATACACATAAATAAAAATCTACTTAATTCTAGTGGTGACCATGTTTCTAATCCATCAGTTTTGGGATCAAAAACAAGGAGTTATTCCTGTCCTGTGCAGAGATAGGCAGCTGAAATACAGGAGTAAAAGTCCATGAACAAGAATCTTTCAGAGATCATATTTAAGAAAAAAAATGTTTTGGTGATTACAATATTTTTTATTAAGTACTTCTAGACTCTGGGCAAGACATTTATTAGTTAGACAACAATTATGTTACCTTTTATCATAGCCAAATGCCAAGTGATTAATAAGAACACGTGCTTTCAGCAAAAAAGGTAAACTAAATGAATCAGAAAACAAAATCTACATTATGATCTTCCATCACAGAAATATTACATTATGTCATATGCATAGATGATTTCGGATGGAGCCTGGCTAATTCCTGACCTCAATAGATTTGGTATATGTGCAACGAATTTACTAGAATAAAAATCTCACCCTCCCTTTCCAAAACATGAATGTATCTGTCACTGAATACATAGATCAAGAAAGATTAAATGAAAAATAGCATAAAGATTAAAGAATAAATCTTAAAATATTGCTTCACAGCTTTTGGAGTATGCACATTAAGAGACGCAAATTTTTTGCCAAAGACTAATGAGTTATTAAGACTTTAAACTGCATTAAAAATTATCCAGAATACCATAAACATTTAGAAATGTAATGAATAACTAAAATTGTTCACACATCATAAAAGCAGCTCGATAGTGGCAGAACTGGTACAGATTTATCAGAAAGCAGCTCCCAGAATATCTTCTCAAACAGCATGCTTATTCCTGTCTAAGGGCTTTTGCATCCTAACAGATTCATGAGAAAGAAGTCAGATCCCTACTGTGGGAAATGAAGTTTCTCCCACTCGTTTCAGTGGGAATCAGGATTTAGCAGCCAAAGAGTTTTAGGCTCCTAGTTCTTCATCTTTAATTACAATAATGCTTAAATACTTTAAAAAAAAAAAAATTTAGATCAAGACAGTTGTATTCTCAGTTAAGAAAAGATGAATTCACGTATCAAAGTACGAAAGCTGTACAATTTTACATGGATGCAAAAGGACATGCTGTGATTATAACAATTTAAAACAAATAAGTTGTTTGGTAATCAAAATAAGCCACTATTAAATATTATTTATTACATAGATGATGGTTGATACAATTAGAACCATCTTCTGATATAGAGAGAACCCAAGAGGCAGCTTTTTTGGATTGTGAACCTGAGCATGCATGTTTCTGCCTTTGCTCAGGAGATGATCTGCCAAACTCAAAATCAATTTATATACCCACATAAATACTTCCTTGTCCTCATCGTTGGCAGTTCCTACTCATTACTGTAAAAAATCCCTGCCTTTATTCTTCAACACTGTAAGTGTGATAATCTGGTATGCTTAAACTGCTGTGAAGACAAGCCCTTGGATCTAAGTTTTTAAATCTACCGAAGCCAGGTCACTAGACATAAGTTCATGCTTCTACCAAGAAGGCCAGTTCTCTAATTCTATCTAGGACTATCACTTTTTCCCGTCCTCCTTTTTTATACCAAAAAAATTTTGCCAGATGTGCAGTAAACTCAATATGGGAACCGAGTTGGCTAACAGAAAACCATTTTTATTTAGTTTTTGCTGATATTGGAAATTATGTAGTTTGTTTGTTCATAAGGTATATCCATCCATCCCCTGCCAATACTTGTAACCCATTTGACAGATTAGCTCATGAAGAAAGCTACTGTAAAATCAATTAAATCCCATTTTCTCTAGGAGTTTTACATTTGTATTTTTTAAAATATTGTTTTGTAACACAAATATTGCTCATCTTCTCTATCCTTAGTTAGAAAGTGAATATACGCACCACTAATGATGCTCCATAATAATGCGAAACAAATCGAAGCGTCTTGCTTATTATTTTCCTCATTTCAGAGTCAAACTCCTGAAAAAGTTCATATTGGAACATATATGTAAGAAAAAAAATATTACAGCTAGAACTTTTCATTTTTTGTATAAACTGCAGTGCACTTAGGCTACAATATACGAGGCTTTCAGCTGTCAGCGTAATTATATCTTAAGACAGAATCAGTAACAGCCTACTCTGAAAAGAAATGTCACAATTTCCCTTTGTTTCTTTTTTACAGAGGGAGCCTAATTCAGGCAATAGGTTAGTCCAGAAGAAGTTTCCTAATTGGGAATGCTATTCAATTTCCAATTAATTTATCTCATTTTGTTTTAAATTTTTAGAAGTAGAAACACTACCTAGTAGAAGAGTAAGGATTTTTTCTTTTTGTGAAAATATTTAACTTTCAGTAAACCCTTGGGTATATGCTTTCTAAATTCTAATACCTGCAAGATTTGAAAGGTGCATAAAAATACCTTTTCATCCATGTTTCTTTAATATAAGATCATACAGATGGCCTTCCCTGGATAAAGTCGTCGAAAACCTGGTCCCAATGAAGCCTGCAGGAGTCTGTCCATAGACCCCAATGGAATTAGGCTGTTATTCTGTGCTTTGCTTATTACATGAGAGTCACCGATTTTTAAAGAGGTCATCGCTCAGCATAAAGCCTCAGTACAAAAGAAGGCAGAGTACCTTATTAATAAAGGATTAAGTAACTCAAAGAGTCAGCCAAGTATCAATGAACTATGTAGTATCCAAAGAAGCACAAGCTGCCAGCACGGCAGCTAAAAATCAAACATACTATTCTAGTTTCTCATGATCAAGTGCTGTTGAAAATTGAGTATGCATTTGTTTGGATTTTTAATGTCCTGGGAGAGAATCCAGCAGTACTATGACATTTCTTTCCTCTCCCTGCTAAAAGATGCAATTACTCACTTGTCTCTAAAAACTTAAGTACTTAAAAAAACCCAAACAGTTCCAGACTGAAATGATAGTTTACTGTTTGTGCTGCCACAACTACCAAAAAATCTGACCAGCCGACTTGAAAGATGCCCCTCTTTTACTGCCATAAACTTACAGCTGCTGTCAGAAGGGACACATGGAGCTGGATTTCTCTCATTATAAAAGAAAGGCATCAACACCATGTTTTCTTGCTTCCCTCTTCAGTCTGCAGCAACTTATATCTCAACATTTTCCAAGTACATCTCAAAAATCATCAGTTTGGGAGTGTTTTGTGAAGGAACGACATATGCCTTCCATAATGCTGTTGGATGGAAAGATTTTTTTTGTGGTAGAAGGCTGACTGGCTGTACTTTTGTTCAAATGATTACTATTTTGTTACCAAGATTTTAGTATATAGAATCTTTACCAGGAATCTTTTAATTATTTAAAAAAAAATTAAGTATTACTTACATGAAAAATATCATATTTGCTTCCAATTATCACCAAGGGTATCGGAAAAGGGTCAACTAACTCATAATCCTATTAAACAGATGTACAACAGTTAAGCACTGTAAACAAACTGTAGAAGATTGCAACTGTTAAAACAACTGAAAAGGGTTAAAATTAATTCACAGAAGACAAGCTCTATTTTTTCAAAACCTTAAGTTAGATGAATAAACTGTAATGCTATATCCATGCCATATTCTACAATTTTCTCATTTTCTTCATAAATGGTCAGGAAATAATCCCTCTGAGCAGTCAGAACACTTACTGGCATAAAAGGGCTCTTACACTATATACTCCAGCTCCAACATTAGATGGGAAGGGAAGAGAGGAAAAGCCTCATATATTCACAGAACAACTGCCAGACTGGGTTAGTAGAACTGGCTTTTTGACACATTTCCCCCTCCTTGCATCATATCCAAAGTAATACAGACAAAAGCTCAAGAAAATTAAGCTGAATGATTTGCTTGTGTCACATATTTGTCCTCCCCACATCACATTTTCCAAACTCTTTAAAAATACTTAATGTGATTTTCAAATGTTTGATATCAGCAGAAAGAGGAACCATGAAAATGCAAATCAATACCAAGGGACGAAAACAGCTCTGGGGGTGTAGATTTACGTGTTAAATAGCTAACTTCTGATAAAAGTTTTAATAAGTAGATTACAATAATCCTCAAGTTATCTGGAAGGTTTTCCTGTAGTCCTTATGAAATGAGACAATCCCCATATGTGTTCACACAGGTATTTAGTCAAGCTGCTTCGGTTGCAGCAGAGAGGAAAAAGAGATGTGTTGTAGCAGAGGTTGACCTAACTGTTCCCTTCTAAAACTGGTTATTTCACATACAGGTTAAATGACAGTCAGTATATTAGTGAGAAGCTGCACATACTGAAAATCCTCTACTTTGAGAGAAAAAATAATGGTTTTACTCATACACTGTCAAGGCAAAAGCTTTGAACAAAATTATCATAACTTAAAACTGGGTGTACAGAATATAGAACAGAAAAAAAATTAGTTTTAGTTTCTTAACTAAGAAAAAATTAATTCAGGATAACATCAAAACCACTAAAACTGGCATACTGAACCCTGTTTATCTTTTGACTATGGAATTAATTTTTGACTATGGACTACTTTAGGGGCATCCAGCCTTTTTAAACAAGGTCTGTAATTGATATCTTACACTTTATCATCATAGCCAATAATTCTTTACCCAGGCCAATGGAATATATCTAATCCTTAAAAAAACCCCTCTAAGAACCTCATCAATTCCTGTTTATCATAAAAATATGTTTAGCTATAAAAAGGCAAATAAAAATCTGCGTAAACTGTCATTTACTTTGACTATAAAAGATAGTATTTCCTCCCACAAAATTGACATAATTTTTTCTTGAACAACAACGAAAGTAAAAAGAGAACCAAGGAGTAACAAAATATTTTGTTTGCACCCTTTCTGTGTTTGATAATGAAGTCTGAAGAGAAACTCAGACTTCCCTACAGGGCAAGTATAACAAGTCTTCTCTTCTTAACAATTAATGGCATTATTATTTTTACTTATTGAAAAAAGCTTGCCGTTTTCTGATATGTAAGCCCCTATATGTAAACCTGACACTGTGGTCATGATTTATTGCCAAGTGTGCTTGTAGGCATTTTCTTTTTGTGAATTACCTTCTCTAAAAGTAAAAAACAAAATCATAATCCAGCAGATCTCAAACCCTATACTCTAAATCTACTGAGTATTGCATATGTTGCTTTCTCATAAATTTTAAGTTACTTTTAAATTTTTGAGCTATATAAGCATTTGCTGTATTGTAGCATTTTATAGAAGTTACAGTAACTAGATTTATGTGCCAAGTCTTTGAATTGTTGAATACTTATTTATGCATTATATACACACAACATTTGCAGAGGTTTAATGCACAATGACTTTTCATTTCTATTGCACATAATCTAGTTTAGCTTTTCCAGAGATTTAGTTAGCAATTATGTTTAAGGACTGATGTTAACATTTCTGAAACTTTATAATTTAATTAGTTGTCAGATTATCAAAAGGCATTGAGTTTGTGATAGACATTTAAATAAATGCAAAGTATATAGTCATGTTGATGGCTGTTATAACTATATTCTTTGCTTAAATTTGTACCTTCAGCTAGTCTCTTGCTAGATGACTTTTGTACATTCTAGTTTTCATCTTCATTTTAAAAAGATGAGGGGGGGGGGAAGGCAAACTGCTACTCTAAAACTATTTCTTTTGATTGGTGTAACATGCCATAACAATCACATTAGATATCTAACAAAAAGATATGAGAAACCTTCTTTCCTTGTTTCTGCTCTTACTGAATTTTTATTAAATTGCTATAATTTTCCAGTGAACAGGTTCATCTACATCAAATGGATTTTCAGTCATGCATAAAAATCTAAAAGAGTTGTTTATAATTTTCAAAAGATTATCTTTAACTGTATAAAGGCCTGTGACATCTGGAGAAAATATTAGAAGTAACTTACTGGATGATCCCTCTGCAGATTGTTCCGCATCCTCTGTTTAATTTCCGTAGCTACTTCAGGATTTGTCTTTTCTAGTTTGGTTAAAATTTTTTTCACGTGGTTCCTGGTGACCTGCAGAAGTTTCTCCATAGTAGTCCAGAGTTCGTTAGGTTTGGACAGATCCAATACAAGAACTACAGCAAATGACCTATTAAAAAGGCATTATTTGGTCAAATCTTTAGCGCATGAGACAATCAACATTTTCATATACAACCATACCTGTAGTACAAATGCTGAAAACAACAAATGTGAAAATACAAATGCTAAGATAGAATTAAATGTGACAGCAAAGGAAGATGGCTTTTAAGGATACTCTGAGCTCTGAAGAAACCTTTCCTTTGTCTCTTGTTCAGAACTATTACTTCGGCAACTTTCCATCAGAGGTTTTGGGGGGATTGTATATATCAAAATTTATTTCTGGAGACTTTGTTTCAAAGCAGTAAAATATGCAAATATCCTGAGCCCATTTTGCTCCTTCTTCCTGTATGACTGGGCACTTCTACCATCATGTATCACCGCCATCTCAAAACTCTACAATCCCAGATGAAGCAATGTTAGCAAATGGTTAGGATCTTTCCTAACCATTAATGTATTAGAAAGTTCTATACTTTCATTATCCTTTTGTAATCCGAAATGGAAAAAACTGGTTAAGGGCAATATTCTCTGCCATGGACTGTGCCAATTAGCTGGAACCTCAAATGGGTGTATGAGAAAGTCTTCTGAAAGATAAACAGAAGAAGTCAGAGTTCTCAAGACATACGTAGCAATTACCAGGCTCTTAAAGGTGGATTATGATGAGAAATGTTTTACATATAAACTCCTCTCCTTACAAAACCCTGCCTCCCAAAACTCTAACTGCATTAAAGTGCAACTGTAAAGAAGAACGTCGCAAATGCACCCACTGGAATGGATGCAATCATTCTTTCACATCCCATCCTGACTTGAAAAAGGGGATTCCAGACCAGAGTGGTATTAGAAAGACTACAAAGCAAAGTGAATGACCAATTTCACTTTAAAATGCTGTGGGGAAAAAAATCTGTTGAAAAGTCTCTTGGTGAAACTAGATATAGTTCATGGAACTTTTAAATAAGCAAATTGCTTGACTACAGACAGATGAGAAAATCAGTGAAAAGCACTTATACTTAAGTTGAAATGCTAGAATTTTTTACTAGCATGTTAAAATATTGCCTTATGAACAGAAGTGGTCTTACAGAACAATGTTGCTATCTCATCAAAGAATCTTAAGATCATCCACATCAGATGATTCCTTATCAGTAAAAAGGGAAGAAAAGATTGATGGAGGTGGAGGTCAGTTAAGTCCATTTAGACAATAGCTAAAAAATTATACTTGATTTTTTCCCCCAAGCTCTTCTAGAAACAAAAAGCTTCACATGCCGGAAGTGAAGCCAGTTTTTTTTTTTATTCCTTCTGTATTAGCCTCTCACTAAATAATGACGTTATCTCAATAGCCAAACCAGTAGCAAATGTACATGATAAAAATCGTACCCCTCCTTTTTTATTTCTTTTTCTTTCTTTCACAGAAGTTAAAGCTCACTACTAAAGAAATAAAGCAATGCATCATAATACAAAACGTATCTTTTGATCCTTTTCTGCCCTTCCACTTTCAACTCCATCTTCCCTAACCAGAAAAAACATAAAATGCACCCCCCATGACCTTCTCATTTCTTCATGCAACTCTTCATGCATTTCTTCTTCCTATGCTATTACATCACCTTTATGGATTTTTCTCACTACGTTCTCTTAATTCTCTCTAAATTCCTGTTTCCTTTTGTCTTCAAATCATTTCAATACTTTTAGTCCCTCTCAGAAACATCATCTCTCTTGTATGATCTTCTTATCAGATGGTCACTTCACTTCCCAAAAATCTAGAGATTTTTTTTGTGACAATTTTTTGCCTTGTTTTTCACCCTAAAATACTGCCCCTCACAGAGACAGCATCTATGTTTGCATACAGAAGTAGGAAGCAAGATTTTATTTTTTGTATGCCCCCAAGTTGCTTTTTCTGCTCTTTCACTGAGCATAAAGATATTATGTCCTCTCTTTTTCTATATTTCTTGTTCTATCTATTTAAGGCCAACCTATTTCCTTCACGTTATCGCTTTCTCTTGTTGTTGGAGATTGCTAAGAACTTCGCTTATTAGGAGAGAACTGTGAAAAGGAAAGTCAAAGCAAAGTATCAGTGGTATTACAATGATTTTTAGAAAAAAATCATAAACGTTCTATCTTACATTTTGAAAGAGTTTTCCACAATAAAAGGTCTAGAGATTTACTTATGTTTGAAGGAAAGCTGAAATTAACTTTTGAATTGCAATATTAATCACTTACCTTATGTTGTTGCTAGTGATCGGTATTCGAATCAGTTCCAGTAATGAGGTTCCACCACCTAGTTCCCAAAAATGAGCTATATCTTTGGGCTGTAAAAGAGTTTCTTTATGTTATGTTAGAAGCGTGTGCTTCCATGCAACACCAAGAGAAGATCTTCATCTGATAAACTGGCTTTTCATGCAAGTGACTCAGAATAAGAACATATACTATTTCATGAGTATTTTCTGAAAAACAAAACCAAATAAAAAACTCCCCAAGTTCAAGAAATCCCATACAACTCTTACAAAAGACTCCTGGCATGCCTATGACTGTCTTGATAAATGACTACGGTAAAGTAAAAAAGTCAGGAAGCAGCATCATTAATGATAAACATAAAAAAATCAGGTTCTCTTCCTTTTCTTTTTGTTTATTGCAGCTCAAGAGTAATGCTTTTTGAGAAGTTTGGAACTGGAAAAGTAATGAATCTCTACCTTCACATTTAGTTTCTGGGAAAAGTTTTAAGTGATTTTTATCTTTCAGAGTCAGATTTTCCACTCCCTGCTTCAGTAATAGAAACAGTAATTACCTGCAGCAATAGTTATTGCTGCTGGGCACTGTTATGCTGTGATGGGAATGGGTTCAATATTTCTGTTAACATAATCTGCAGTGCAAAATTTAGCGGTATGGACACATAACCCAAAAATGTAATTATGATTTAACGTCCTCTAAGATGACTGCTTCTTTCATAAAACTGGTCGTAAAGTATCTTCATCTGTTTGTGCTCATTTTGCGTTTTAAAGACAAAGGTAAAGGCATGCATACTATGTTACAATGGGAAAATAAAAGCACTCAAACACGACAAACAAGGTAGTTTTTATAGATGAATCTGACCGCTTTGTGTTATACTTTGGTCTCTGATCTACTGTGTTCTAGTGAGAGCGAAAAACATATTACAGATTAAAATACAAAATTACGCTAGCTAATTTAAATAAAATTATATTAAAAAAACCTTTTTGTTTCACAAACAATAAGCTAAACCCCCTAAGATTCTTATACATAAAAATAAAACACACATTATTTTTCTCTGTGTGTATATATATAAAAAGATACGGTAAACTATACTTTCTGGATACTCACTGTATTGTGCCTCCTTGCCCTTCTTCCAAAGGTATATTCCAAGGCTAATGTTGGCTTTGGAATTTCGTCCCTATGCAAGGAAAAATAACTTCATTTTGTCAATTAAAGAAAGTTAATACTAAATTAAAGAAAGTTAATACTACAGTTACTAAATCATATTTATCAGTCAGTTCAGAACTTGGCTTAGAAACAGCAGCACAGAGAGGACACTTTAAGACAAGAGGTCTCAGTTGCTGAAGACAGGAGAAGTAGCAGCACCAACCTGAAGAGATGGCCATTTAAGCTCTCTAATACTGGAGAACAACAACTGAAGGGGCCAGATGACAGGTAGTAATGAAGGGAAATAAGTTTATCCATAAGTGATCAACCGGTCACAGAATACAACATCTGTATACATATATTATGAATTATCACACAATATAACTACTTATGTAAAATTCGTATCGACTACTTTTAGAAATTTAACACATACCTCTCAAGACACCTCAGTATAATAGTGGTCTTTCCCTGGAAATGAAAAACAAAGAAGATCCCTACTGTACTGTCATTAAAGCATAAAAGTTGTATTGCTAAATGAAACTCGCTCATTTAACATTCCAATAATAAAGTACCGGAAAAGTGTAAACTCATGTAATTGTTTGTAGCCTTATAGTGGAAACTTAACTGCCAACTTTCTGTCAGAATCAAGTTACACTACCATTATTATAATTATAAACTAATAGACATGACAAATACAGTAATAGGAATAGTGTGCTTAAAATTAGACATTAGTGATCAATCCGGCCAACTCTGTTAAACTGTTTAACGGTTTTTAATTATTAATAATACATTTATGTAATGTTTGGTTTCCACTGGAATTAATTATTACTGATGAGATGGAAATAAAAAGAATACTTAAAATACAAACAAACATACAGAAAAATATGTCTTTACACTGTTGAAATTCAGACACTGAGTACCATGCCACACTGAAGGGGCTAGCACTTCTACAGCTTACTCCTGTGTCCTTTCCTATCTCAAAAATCACTGAAGTTCAGGTAAATCTGAAAAGTCATTGTATTTTCTCTGAAAAAGGTATTTTAAAAATTGCTGATTAAGAGGTTGCACATATACCAATCCTTCTAAAATAAAAATTTTATTCTTAAAAGTATGACTCACTTGGTCAAAAAGGCAAATATTTCCTTATTTACTTCACAAATAAATGCTAACAGAAGAAAAATATGAAATTACTAATGACCAAACTTCTGGGACAATGAGTTAAAACAGCCTTAGGCATGTAGAATCATGAGTTTGCAATCACTGATAAGGCATGTTCAAATAGGTCTGACATAATATAGACACAATTCATAGCAGGATGTCAAGGCCGCGATCTACAACAAAACTGGTATCAATGCACTTAAATTGGATTGTTACCAGTTAAACCTTTACAGGGAGAAATTTGACATGTCAAACAATTAAAGAGAGTAGCATTATTTCCGGCAGTTACTTTTACAAAAATTAATGAAGCCAAACCTCAAAGAATTAGCACATCATCAATAACAACGGTTGAAGTTTCGACTCTCCAAACCATAAACTTGAACTTCTGAATTGTAACCATGTCTAATTGGTCCATACCCTGTGGAAAGCCCACTCTCTGCAGAATCGGAACATGACATATTTCGACTTTAGAAGAATTAAGTGGACCTTAATAACAGAAAATATCAGATATTTTCCCTGATACAAACTATGTTCAAAAAGCACAGAATTGTACAGTATTTAGCGTTACCCCATTTTTGTTTCCCATAAATAATATTGATTTTTCCCAAATTTCCACATGCTTGCCATCATCTTCAGGGTTTTCTCTGTTCTCCACTTCAGCTATAGCAAGATCCCATAAAGTATCATTACTGGGAAAAACCAAAGTAAGAGTGTAATTAGAGAAGAACAATGGACCGTCAACCATGATTCCTGAAAATATCTAAATAGACAAGGGTATTGCGGTTTTGGTTTTTTGTTGTTGTTGTTTTTTTTTTTTCCCCACATCACATGCCCTCTGCTTGTTGAAGTACTTCTAACAAAGCCAGGTTAAGCAAAATTCCTCAGGTAACCCCAACAGCCACGTGCGGCACACGCTGAGCAAATACCAGCTGTGTGGCGGGAGGCTTTGTTTTGAGTACATTTAAGACCCCTTTAAAAGGTTTTCTAACGATTAAGGCTTTTCACAGCACCGGAGAAACCGCTCTGGGGTCAGTGAGCTCGGGAGGGCTCAGGACCTGCCCTCGGCGTCCCGGGGAAGATACTGCTCGGAGCAACGAGGGCTTCTTCCCCTCCTCAGGCTCCCCCATGTCCCCCTGCGGGGCGGTGGGGGTGGGTTAGGCCTCCCCCTTTTCTCTGGGATCCCTAACAGGAGCAACCGGCTCCTCGCACCAAGGGCCACGCGTGCCCCCATCCCGCCCGCGGCCCCGATCGCTTTCAGGGGCAGGGATCGAAACGGCCCCTTTTACGCCTTCCTCCCTCCTCCAGGCTGTCCT